AAAGTATCTGGCGTTATCAGGGTTAATATTGACTCCAATTCGGTATTTTGAGAATTGTGAATACGTTTTTCAACCGAATTGACTGTTATTTGATATTTTATATTCATATTGGCTGTCAAATGCCACTACCAAAAAAATCGTTTTATTATAGCCCCATATAACTGTAGTTCCCGTTATATGGAAGACTACCGTTATATAGGGTATGTAACGTAATTTTCGGTATGATCAAGGTCCTATCATAACATGCTGATGTTTACTTGTTTTGCTTTCACTTATCCATACAGAGTAAGGGGGCAAGCGAAATCGTATTTTTTCGCTTATGAATATCCACAATAAGGCTGAATATATTTTAAAATAAACCAATAAATGTTTTTGATTTTTCGAATGTGGCAAATGTTATCAAACCCTTAAAGACTCCACTAACTGCAACGTCATTAGTCGTATTTAATTACATATCATATTTTGTATGCATTTGTTATATACATACTTCTCCAAGTCGTATCAAAACATAAGCAATTTAATTGCAATTACTTTAATGAAATTAAAATGTATTCTTATCTGTTGATGATAAGATTTTGTTCAGAGTGTACTTGCATCTTTTTAATTAGACTAATTATGATTATCAAATTAAATTTCACTTTATGAAAGCAAGGTATATAAGTAATAAAATCAGTAGGGAAAGAGTAAAGGTCCTGATACCTTACGCCACTTTGAGTAGGGGAGAGGCGGCATCTTTTCCGACCCGCAACCAATATTTTGTATATGATAAACTAGTTCTCTATCTGCGTAAACCACTTTGGCTAGCTTTTTCAGTTGTCGACAAAATGTACATGAGTGAACATGTTTTTGCAGATATGTATACTACCTTGTGGGGTCTCCGGCGAACATTTCGAGGTATTGCAAACGAAATGACAAATTAAATATTCACTGCACCTTATGGTGAAGGGTATTTTGAATATGCAACTCCTAATACCATCTAAAATATGTAGTGTAGTTAAATTGCATTTCAAAAATTATACTTTACTACAAATGTGCCACAATTCACTAAACTCATCTATCACCGTATAGCCTTTTATGAAACTGCTGTATAGTAATTTATGTTCAGTCGCCTTTTTTCCTTTCAACAACTTGTCGCTCAGCTGCCCGCCTCTATTTTCTTTTATTATTATAATTATAATTGTCAGTGTGTAGAAAAGGACCCTCGGTAACAGTGATTATATGACACTAACAAATACAAATCAACAACAGTAATAATAAATAGTTTCTACTGTCATTTGCCGGGTGATTTTCCAAAGGCATTGAAATGTCATTCAGGCATTTGCGGCGTAAAAGCAACAAATCGTGATTTCATATTTTGACCAATGCACTACAGGTCAAACAGACCATTTTAGTGGCCAAAAGTCGATTTTCACACATTGTCTTATCACTTCTTTTGAGTTACAATCGAGTAAGGAACACTTCAAAACAAATAAAAATTAATTTTGTTTTGGCATAATCACTTATACGGTTACATGGCAAGCTGTCAAACATGAATTATTTAAAAATCATAAAAAATGTCTTAATTTGGTATGTTACTTGTAAAGATTATAAGTGGAAATAAAATAAAAGTATAACTATAAGTAATGAATTAATAACAAAGTATTCGATATTTTCTATCATAAAATGTATCTATGCATATGTGTATGTGTAAAAATAGTATTAAAATAAGCATAACTTTAGATTGATCGCAGAAATTTTTAAACTTTGAGGTTATGAAAGCATTAAATCCGTGGGCAACGGTTGGCAATTGAAATAAAAATTGATATTTGTTTATTAAACCGTCCTTAATCTAAATAACTTAATGTGGTTTTGCGGTTTTGTGCGGTTTTTTAATTATTACCATTACCATTATTACAAATTAATTTGAATCTGAAATAACTGGGGTAGAGGTAAATTTTATATTTCGCCTCAAAATTATTTTAATTTCATTATTATGTCAGTTTTCGTTACTTTTAAACATATTTCGAACTTATTGTTTTGAAACAGCTAATTTAATAATATTGACGAAATATTCTTGGCTGTCCATGACGGCTACTGTCCATAAGGTACAAATTCATTCGACGCACATAATGGAAAATTGTGTACTTCCTTTAGGGGTTCATGGAGAAGATGCTATTGAAGCTAGGCACACTCGTAAGACCAGCCGAATGAATAACATCATAGATATATTTACTACATTAGATTAGATCCTTTAATATCATCAATTAGCTTAATCAAACACATGTAGCAGCGAAAGTGTTAAAGCTTGAAATGTTAAAATTCTATTGATGAATTGGTATCTCTAAAACTAAATTCTACTGTTTTAGAGATTTCAATTCATCAATAGAATCAAACTATTAAAGGTGAAGATAGATCATATGATGACATCGATGACGTATATAAATATATAGTATAAATAGAAAATGAAACGGACTTCATTTAAATAATATATGTAATCACAGACGTAGCAAAGTGGAGGGGTGTCCTTGGTGCTAGACACCGCCCGAATTGTTTTTGTTTACATTAACTTTTGTTATGCAACAGAAAAAATTTAATTTTTTCACAAACACCAAACATATCACATAACACCCTCCCCCCTTTTCGAAACACTGCATACGACCCTGCATGTGATGATATTCCCTAATGTTATTTATTTTATATATATATATATATATATATAATAAAAATAAATAAAATATATATAAATAAAATTTTATGAAATATATGAATTAAATTATTTTTGTCCCCAAAGGGTTAATACATTAATGATGTAAAGGGTTTATTTCTAAAAAAGCATTGTTCCATTATTCTTTCAGAAGGTTAAGAATGCTATTCTGGTTGAAATACAGTTATTTTTTAAATTTTATGACTTTTGGCCACAAAAATTGCCACTTTGACCTATAGTGGCATGGTTCATAACATACATACAAAGTCGTCGTACATTTGAAACTGAAGGTATTCTGTGATGTTGCTGTCGACCAAATATCGGACACAGCGGAACGACCACAATATGACACACACAAAGAATTGATGTGTATTTATAGATGAAGAAAATTCTTTTAGGTGAGCAGAATAAGTGTTTAAAGTCAAGCTAAAGGGAGTCTTTATAGACGAGATGGAAAGGAATCTTTTAGACGAGCTGAGAATGTCAGACTTCAGCATCTTTTGAATAGATTGGTAGCACAAAGCGACCTGTATATTAATAAACATTAAAGAAGTTAAAACGATGTTATACCCTACACCAAGTGCTCCTAGGAGGTAGGACCTTGAATGTTCCGAAAAAGACGTGAAAAAAGATGATTACCTAATAGCGGGACTAGCGTTTTATGGGGCTATAACAGAACGAGGCTATACTGAACGGGGATCAATGTTGATGAGAATACAAACTACAGCCAATTCGGTGGAAAAACGTGTCCAAAATTCCTAAAATTCCGACTTGGGTCAATATTAATCATTTTTAGTACAAGGATGTGCTATACAATGATAACCCAAAATAAAAAATTACAGTCAATTTGGTTTTACCTGACCAAACTCTACAAAATAACGTAATTTGGAATGTAGCGTTATATGGGGTGATCAAATATCAAATTAGAACCAGCCTATTATTTCGTTTTTAACCTATATTCTCATCGAAGTGGCTATAATTTGGCATGTCGGATTCCTGATGAATAAACAATTTTTTCGAGCAATTATCACCTACATTGATAATGTTCAAAATAGCCGTCCCGTATGCTACTCAGTTTTCCAAGCTGAGTGTCTGTAATTTGAAAGATTTTTTCAGAGCATGTATAACCTAATACCATATAATGCAATAACATAGTCCCAATAAAAAGTTCTCGATGATTTAAGGAATTTTAAATGCACATCAGTTCGGCGGGCACATCATCTGGTCGACTAATAAGCATGGATGTTTTCATTATGATCAGTCAATATATAGCGGGTTAAATGGATCCAGACTTTTGTGTGAAAAAAATTTAACCCAGAAGGATATAGCCGGGAAGCCGATAATATATTCAACAGGAGTGGTTGGCCTTTAAATTCACACCAAATATATTGTTAAATGTATTCGGATATGGGTGTTGAACTAACATATTTATTTTGAAATTTTACATGAAGTTCCGATGGACAAGTACGATGACTTTCCACAATTATAAACCAAAATTCACAAGCTTTTCAAGGGGAAGGCCCACTATTTAGAAAGGCTGTATTCATAAAGATCGGTCAATATTTAGGTCAAATGAGCCAAAATGCTAACGTTTAAATCTTATGGCGTAAATGTCCATTCCGGTAGAATCAGCCAAGAGAGAGAAAATATCGTCCAGACTTGGAATATAGATCCGAAGAAAGTTAACTACTCCGCTCACCACCATAAGGTGGAGTGTATATTAAATTTGTCATTACATTTGCAACACCTCGAAATATTCACACCCCGATAGAGATTGCAATATTTAAGATAGAGCTTTGAAATTGCACACACATTGCTAGTAATCTCTCCTTACAACAAATTATTACTTTTGACCCAATTTTCAGGGTACACCCTAATATTCGGTGTTTTGGATATTTTGGACACGTTTTCAAACCGAATTGGCTGTAATTTGCCATTTTGGGTTCTCATTGATTAACACGCAACCGTACCAAAAATTATTAATATTCACCCTAGTTTCATGGTAGCCCCTATTTCGGTATTTTGGAAACTTTAGACAGGTTTTCTAAATCTCACTACCCAAAAATATCAACATTGATCTCTTTTTATTATAGCCACATATGTCCCACTTCTAGATATTTTGAGAATTCCAATCATCGTTTTCTCACGTCTTTTTCGATATATTTAAGGTCGTATCATAACATGAGTTCTCTCCTAGGAGCTCCCATTAATTTTAAATATTTTGATTGTCATCCATAATCTTATCTTGTTATTTAAATATTTACATATCTGCCATGTTATTAGTTAACATATCTATTTTTCTTTTCCTTAATTTCAGATAAAATGGATACCGATCCAGCAATGGCCAACTTCAAAGTGTTGTACGTTTTAACACAACTATGCGGTCTGACAATGATCGTATTGATGGGTAGTTGGGTTGGTGTGCATATGGGTGGTGTAGGTGGCACCGATAATCCCGCATTGGAATTCAATTGGCATCCACTGTTAATGACAATCGGTTTGATCTTCTTGTACGGTAATGGTAAGTATAAAAAAATATCAATGAAATTCATAAGATTTAAATTTCTGTGTAGCATCGCAAATTTAGTTCAATGGATGATTCAGTGTAGATAATCTAGGTAATTTTATACGTTTGGTATTGGATCAAAAAATCGACATTTTGAGGGGGAGGTACAAGAAGGAGTGGACCGCGATGAGTCCCATCTTCGAACATGATTTAAGTATGAAAGAAATATTACGATGTGCACAATTTTTATGAAATTTCAAAATATTGGCCCTGTGTGGGGAAGTTAAAAATATGATGATTTACAGAGTTTTGATGCAATTGAATATTGCATCGTTTAATATTGGATTTATAAATATTGCCAGTTTTGATAATTTCTGGCTGAGGTACTAAAAGGAACGGTCCCAGATTGAACTCCATATTCAGATCAGATCTAGGATTGATAAAAAATATTAGGATATACAAAATTTGCATGCAATTTGATATTGTATTTCCTTCAAATAAGATTTACAACGTTTTTTTAATATTGATCTTTTCTGGGGAGGTACTAGAAGGAGAGAGCCTTTAAGTCCCAACTTTCAACATTATACATGCTTAGTTAAAATATTAGATTGGGTAAAGTTTGGATCAAATATTATACAATTAAATTTAAGCAAAATGTTGACCATTTTGAGGATACGGTACCAGAGGGGGTGGACCAATATTCCTCATCTTCGAATTTGATTTGAGTGTGAAAGAAATTTTAGGTTGGGGAAAAAGAAATCCATTGGGAAAAAAGAAATCCATTATTTTTTCGACAGATGGATGTACTGATAGATTTCTCGTAATGTATCGATCAAACAAGGATGACATTTCGTAGTAAAAACAATTTGTTTGCTTTCTTTTGTTTGGTGCATTCAGTTGTGAGTTACACGGTTTTTAAAATGGAAGGGAACAAAGAGAAAATTCGAAAAAATGTATTCTGCCCAACCTAATATTTAAAAGCCAGACGGACGTACATTAGTAAATCGATCCACAACCGTACTAAAAATTACACTGTGCTACAAAATAACAAAAAAAAAAAAAAAATTTCAGGGGTTCTAATGTACCAATTCTGTTTAGTTGAAGTCTCTGGACCACGAAAATACCTTTGGTTTTTTGGGGCACTTCGAAAATTAATTTTATAACGGTAAATATAGAGAAAAACGTGGTTGCATGGATTTTCTATTTGAAACTTGAATAACTTATTTACTTTATAACGGATTTATATTATTTTTTTTCGAAGAGTACAATTTTTCCTCTCAAACAAGATATATAATTGGTAAATCGGTTGAGAATTGGCTGAGTTACAGCGGTTGAAATGTGAAAAAATACGCATAAAATGACAAAATTTATTTTTCTTCAGACTGTACGACGAAATTATGATATCAAGCCATATAAGTTTTATTATATTACAGGGAAGAAAATTAAATTAGCTTTCGAAAATGATAAAAATCAAAAAAAAAAAAAAAAAAAACGGTTAAAAAATGGATGACTTATACACATTTTTGTATTGATTCTATGAATATTCTCTAAAGGAACTATGGGTCTATCTGGTTTCCTTCTGCCTGTTGCAAACATAACGGTTTGTAACAGGAAACGATACAGACCCATATTTCCTTTAGAGAATGTGCATAGAAAAAAATTGACCCCGATAATGGGGGGGGGGGGGGTCACCTTAAAATAGACACAGCTTCCACCCAAATAAAGTTTGGAGGTCAATACCATGAAAAGTGTGCAATCCAAAGATATGCAGGCACTTCGGTCCACCATTTACCTTAAATCGAACGAAATTATATATGGGAGCTATATCTAAATCTGAACCGATTTTTCCCAATTTCAATAGGGTTCGTCCTTGGACTAAATAAATGAGATGTGCCAAATTAAATGTGACCTGTACTTTGCTTACAATTTAACATGGACAGACGGACGGACGGGCATGTATAATGATTTATGCATATGTTCAAAAGGAACAATGTTTCTATATCGTTTCCTTTGGCTTGTTACAAACATATGCCCAAAAACATAATATACTGTACCACAGTTTGCTGAAGGGTATACAAATGTTTAATATTGACCCACGTTTTACGGTAGCCCTCATTATATGAAATTTGGTATAACGGCACCACCACATCTCCGCACTTAAAATTATTAATATAGACCCAAGTCGGTATTTTGAACGCGTTTTCATCCGAATTGGCTGTAATTTGGTATTTTTATTCCCATTGGCTGTCAAAGCTCCTAGGAGCCCTCATTAATTTTATATATTTTGATTATTGTCATCCTCATGGCGGAGGTTAAAAAGTTTGGCCGGGCCGAATTTAACATAGTTTTTACTTGTTCAATTTCGAATTCCGACCATATGGTATAAGCTATTTTACTCGTTTTATTTAGTTAACAATGTGTAAACACATAATTATGGAAAATATATACGATATAAGATATAAATTTGTACCCGTTCTTATCCCGTACATGTTCCTATTATTTTATTCACCACTTTTCTTCCCAAAAACAATAGTTTAAGGCAAACTAAAAAGCATATAAATTATAATTTCTATAAGCCTAAAAGTATGCTTAGCAAAGACATATTTTAAGGCGGTATAGGCTTTTCATATAGATTTTTTTTTTTAATATATGCATATTTTTTAATCATGGATAATGAAAATTTTTATTTCTTTTAAATTTTTCTTTTTTATTTTCAGCCATTTTGGTTTATCGCGGCTTCCGTACACTGCGCAAAAAGACATTAAAGGTAACCCATGCTGCGCTACATATGGGTGCCTTTGTACTAACTGTGATCGCTTTAAAAACTGTTTTCGATTCGCATAATTTGGCCAAGACGCCAATACCAAATATGTATTCGTTACACTCTTGGCTGGGCCTGTCGGCTGTATTGATTTTCTCATTGCAATATGTTATCGGGTTTATGGCCTACTTGGCTCCCGGTGCCAAGGAATCATTCCGTGCTGCATTGATGCCCTTGCATGTGTATTTTGGTCTATTTGGTTTTGTACTCTCAATAGCATCGGCCTGTATGGGCTTAACGGAAAAGGCCATATTTTCATTGTAAGTCCACTGGTGTGATTATTCAAGTGATTTGATTAAACAAATTACATTTTTATTCTTACAGAGGCAGCAGTTATTCCCAGTTACCAAGCTCAGCTGTTATGGTCAATCTTTGTGGTGTCCTGTTTGTGGTCTTCGGTGGTTTGGTGGTATATCTGGCAACTAATCCAGCGTATAAGCGAAAACCCATACCTGAGGATACTGTACTCTTGACTGGTGCTGCGGAATAGATCATAGGAGCTTAAAGTGTTTGCAAGCGTCTTTAACATCTGTATTCCGATTTACGCAAAGAAACGTTGTCACAAAATTGTAAAGCTCAAATGTTTTTATTATTGTTTCTTTATTTGTTTAATATGTTGTAAAGTCTTTTTTAATGTTGTAAATTTCTAAAATTGTATTTGTATTCCTTTATTATATAAATATTTAATGTTCTACTACAAAAAGAAATAACTGCATAAAAGCTCGAAACGTCAGTGCAAAATTAATTGTGGTGCTACACAATAGGAAATAACACATTATTTTTTTTAATTTTTTTGTTTAATTTAAATAAGCGTATGTGTTTTACACCAAATACCAGCATATTCATATATCCAAAAGTAAAAAAATATAGAAATATAATTCAAATTGTTATTATTCCCCGCAAAAATGAAAAATCTATACTAAATTGTAATTTTATGATTAATCAAATAAACGATATATGCCCATGTATACAATATCATTCTGTATGTATGTTTATGCTACTATACAATTATTAAATAAATATTATTAAATTATATTATAATGATCTATACAAATAACAACGAATAAATTATTTTTTTTTACACACAGTAAGTTTCATTTACACATAATCTAATATTTTTATACCCTCCACCACATCGGTCCACGTTTTTCAACCGAATTCGCTAAAAGATTTTATATTGGTTTTTTTTTGGATACCAAATTACTACACCAAAAATTGTAAATATATGTTCACTTTTTTCTAGTAGCCCCCCTATAACGGTATCAATTTGCAGTATTTTGGAGTTGTGAGTGCATTTTTCAACGAATTGGCTGTAATTTAGTACTTTGAGTTCTTATTGGGTAGAACATATCACCACTAAATATTATAAATATAGGTCAGTTTTATTGTGTAGCCCCCACATATTGGCACAGGGTTTTGAATTGTGTCTGGAATGAGTAAATAAATATAGCAAAAGCAAATAGTTATTGAATGAAATCATGTTAAGTACAGGCTATTTTTTATCCGACGATGAAGCGACTATACCCCCAATGAATTAAACACGAGACGAAAACAATTGCGACAAGAGTCAAACATATTTTGCATGACTGATTCTCAGTATGTAACGACTATAATCAAATTTGTGAAACCTTATTCATCTGCTTTTAGATTTATTAGTTACTTCAGGCTTAGTAAGGAAGCTTTCGAATATGTTTTGGGGCAAATCTCTCCAGACCTCCATGACCGAAAAATGTCATCAAGTATGCCAAATATTCTGAAACTCGCAGCAACAATGCGGATACTTGCTGAAGGCAGTTACCAAAAGGGTGCCGGTAACGATTTCAATGTCAGCCTCTCCCAGTCGTCTATAAGCAATTGTTTCCGCGAATGCATAGAAGTAATACATAAGAATCTCTGTTCAAAATGGATTTCATTTCCTACTACAAAATCAGACAAATATGAAATTAAGGAGTCTTTTTACAACAAAGCAGAATTTCCTGGAGTAATTGGATGTATAGTTGGAACACACATTAATATTATTGCCCCAAAAATGGAAGAGCGTTTTAAATATCTGAATAGGAAAGGTTTATATAGCCTTAGCATTTTTGATAAAATATATTCTGCTGTGTGCCAGAAACTTTTACTCGTCAACATATGCGTTGATCTCTGTTCGTTTTGTTGTGACTGATATATTTTTTGATAAAAAATAAAGTACAGAATACTACTCGAAAATACAGAATACTACTCGAAAATACAGAATACTACTCGCACAATCGATTTGATATAATAAATGCCAATATCAATCGATATTTTCTCACATTCTGAATGTTAGGTGTACTGTACAAAATTTTGGCAATTTTATAGATTTTACAGATTTTTTCAAACTTTTTTTTCTATAAAGGATTTTATCGGTGCTTAATTTGCATAACTTACCTAAATTTAAGTGATTTTTTAAAAATATTTTCAAAATCATGCAGTAAAGTAAAAAAATCACACAATGTTTTAATTATGTGGCCACTTCAAAGTCGATTATGGAATTTATGGAAAAACTGCATGCAATCATTTTCTGTTTTCACACTAAATCTCTTAAGTGCAGTATATCGAAGTGTTCTGAATTAAACAATTTTCAAAAATACTTCAAACGAATCGAGGACTGATCAAAAAATGTTTACCACAATAAATGTTTTAATTGCGTGACCACCACTGTATATATATATAAATGGAGCAAAAAATGTATACTAACTCATCAATTGAGAACGGCTGGACCGATTTGACTCAAATTTCTTTCAATTGTCTTTCAGGGGGAAGGTTTTTATGAAAGAGTAGCCTGTAATTGAAGTGAAAGGTTTTTATGAAAGAACATTTTGAGAAAAATCCGCGAAAATGTTGCAATATATATTTTGGAAGATATTATCATTTCCGCACATTTCATATCGAACCTTTATGGTTTCATTTCTTCGTATTTCTATTTGGACACATTTTGGGCAAAAATGGGCAGCGTATATATTTAAGTAATTGTCAATTATGGAAAATTCTCAAAATATGTTTATTTTCTACAATTAATTGGATTGTCATTGCCTGAAAAAACTATTGTATATGAAAATAAATTTATATTTTCATTAGAGTTAAATTTAATAATAAGAAATCGAAAAGAGAGTAAGATTAATCGCTATCATTATTTGCTCACGTTTTCCATAAAATCAAGATTTATTTAGTTTGAAAATATAAGTTATGTTGGGTGAAGAAATCTGCATGATATGTATAGGTTGTGAAATTTTTCTCCAATAAAACGCAGTAAGACATGCTAAAGTAAAGTTTAAGCGGTTACAGTGGTTCCCAGGGATGGAAAATTCAGTACAATAGTACTTTTTTCAGTACCTTTTTACCCAAAAAAGTACCGTAGTACCCCCGTGACTATTTCAGTACCATTCCAATACTTCATTAAGCAATGACATATATATATATATATTTTTTTTTTGGATTAGAATTTGTTATGGATTTACCGACAAAAGTATGCAGATAAAGATATTGATGTGATTGCAATAATTCTCTTGAAAAATGAACAGGTTTTCGACTGATAACTGTTCAGTTATGATTAAGATTACAAATGGATATGTTTGTCAGATACTCAATTTGGCATACTCTGCTATCTCCTAAGGTAGGCAAATTGATGATATTCCTAGTCGTCGTGTTTACTTCAATAATTTTAAGAGCACTTTGGAACTGAAATTCATGTTAGTTTGGGGTATATGTATTGGCTTTCGAGAAAGAGGTAATGAATTTGAAATTAGTCAGTAGCATACATATTCAAATGCAATCGAAAGAAGCAAGAATTCGCATATTATTACCATCAGAAAGATACACTAAGTGATATCTTGAAAATCGATCTTTATGAAACTGAATAAAATATTTTTTTTTGTATTTTCTTGAAAAAAGTACCCTTTTATTAAAAAATGTACTCTTTTGGTACCTTTTCACATTTTTTATTTTCCATCCCTGGTGGTTCCTCATGTTAAAATTAAATTAAATTTTTGCAAAATAGTCAGGCTGAATCCCAGCTTGTTGTTTTTATAAAAAAACAACTATTTATTAGTGGGGAATGTATGGCATTGTTTGCCGAGGGGTAAGGTAGGGAAGACTATAGTTTCGGATCATGCCACTGATCCTCATCACTCCCCTTAGTTTTTTTTTGGGATATTCTCCCCAGAAGCTATTGCTTCTATACAAAAAACCTTTCATACCCAAATGTCTCTTGTAACAAAGCGAAGCACTTAGCTGACCAACGACATAAACTGTATGAGAATTTCGCTGGAGCCTCACTTCGAGGTTAACAAGGCATTTACAAACAATTCCATACCTTTCCCACTGTTGTATGGAATTGTTTGTAAATGCCTTATATGGAATTGTTTGTAAATGCCTTCTTAACCTCGAAGTGAGGCTCCAGCGAAATTCTCATACAGTTTATGTCGTTGGTCAGCTAAGTGCTTCGCTTTGTTACAAGAGACATTTGGGTATGAAAGGTTTTTTGTATAGAAGCAATAGCTTCTGGGGAGAATATCCCAACAAAAAACTAAGGGAACTGATGAGGATCAGTGGCGTGATCCGAAACTATAGTCTTCCCTGCCTTACCCCTCGGCAAACAATGCCATACATTCCCCACTAATAAATAGTTGTTTTTTATAAAAACAACAAAAATTTCATCCTGCTGACGTCTCTCTCCCATCTGTCCCTGATATGGTGTCGAGGTGTAGCATGACAACATTTTCCGAGGTGTTACATGGATATTCATTGCAAACTGTCGATACCATTAATTGTTATTACGATGATCATGAGATGGGCCTATTGAATATATCTCATACCCAGCAAAATCTTAATGTGGAAACGTCTATAATTCAAAGTTTTGAAGAAATACTGGGCAATGTCGATTGCAGCTTTCCCCCAATTTGCACATATCCCAAAAAAAAAAACGCATCGTTTTTCTAAACTTTTTCCCCAACTTAAGACCTTACATTTGGAACAAGCATATCTTACGATCAATGAGTTTCTACGACTGCCACGCCTACAAAACCTTAAAATATCTATGTTCCAAGATATAACATGGCCATATATGTTGAAGCTTTTACAATTCATCAATCTACGGCAATTCATCATCGAACTACCTACAAATATTTGTACAGCTTTTTGTCCCATACTCCTAACGAACGCCAGCAAAAAATATAAAATATTTGGAAATTCCATTTACACTTTTTCGCACACCCATGGCTTGATTTGCATTCGAAGTGTTCGCCGATGAATTTTTTTAACATTATTTTTATTTGCAATCTATTAACAATAAACATTCAGCAAATTTAATAAATTCTTAGATATGGATGGAGTAGTTAAATGGATTTAACAATATTATATAATTACAATTTTTAATTAATATTAAATATTATGTAAGAAATGGGAGATCTGAAAACATGCCTTCTTTTCAGTCTTCTGATTTCGTCTGAGTCATCCAATAAGCTGATT